TGGAATTGGCTGGTGGGGTAATTGATTCTGCCCCCCCCCCGGTCATCTTGAATTGTAGTCTTTCTATATAGTATTATTTTTTAAGCTAATTTAATATGTATATTTATATCTTTACTGTTTTTAACGTTTGGATTTTAATTGTTAGCCTTCAGAGTCACCCTCTGGGGGAGATGGGCGACTTATAAATTTAATAAATAAAATAAATAACACTAAGCTGTGCAAAAGCTCTCCTAGTCACGACTGCCCCCTGCCCTTCAAGCAGGAATCACAAGTCTAGGAAGACCCCCTATAGAGATGCATCTGTTAGATTTATATTAATCTAACAGATGCATCTCTGTTAGATTAATAGAAAGGCCTCTCCTATAAAATTGTCAATGGCCTACTATCTCTTGACCCTGTCAGTCACTCACCCAGTCAAATCTACTTATCTAGAAGTTCTGCTTGCGCACAATCACACTGACCTGGCCAAAAATCACCATTTGGGAAATAAAGTTTCCTCAGCTACTTCCAGGAAGTGCCCAGACCCCTCTAGTGAGAAAGTACAGGCAAGACATCTTGCATCACTGGCAAACTCTTCTCCATAGGCCAGGCAGACAGCAATAGCTGTGGCTAGTTCACAGCAGCTAACTGGTGTTTGGGAGATGTGTCAGGTCTTGGTAGCTCTTCCTTTTGGATGAGTACAGAGGCAATATGGGTTAATTGATTGGGCAGAAGTGTTGCATGAAATGGGTAGATTTAAAGCTAATTTATGAATTAGTTGACTTGTTCAATTTACTCTGTTGATGTTCCTACACCACCTTAACCTTCTCATTGCCCTTGTTTAGCGTGCTGTGGGAACAGGTCCATATGTAAGAATAATACAGTGATACCAAATCAGCTTTTGCTCTGGGATAGTTTCTGGAGCAAAAACCATTTTCACATTAACTCATATTAGTGAGTTTTGTTTAGAGCAATGTTTCTCAACCTTGGCAGCTTTAAGATGGGCGGACTTCAACTCCCAGAATTCCC